ACATCGATGACACATCAAAGATCAACAAAGCATACGGCAATGGTTAAGAAGTACTGGTTTTGGAAATCTTATATCGATGCGTGTAATAGTGGTATCGTGGCATATAAATGTGTGAGAAAGGAGGCGAGAAGGGATTTGATAAACTGCTTCACTAAAAGGGCCAATTATTGAGGCTGGTCCTGTACAAATTCATTTGTACTTCCTAGACACTGACTTCTTTTCCTGACGGCATCGATCAATATTTAGTGTTTGTCGCTCAACAGCAGCCACGTTTTCCCAGTTTGTCAACTTTCTTCCGCGAAGGCTTCAGTGGCTACATGAACAACACGACCAGCGTTACACACTTAGTCGCTTCCCGTTGAAAGTAGCCCGTGTTTTCGCGGTTGCAGCTTTTTCAAATTATGGGTCTTTTATGGCCACCTTTCTCAGAGATGGCCACCTGTTAGTGGCAGCCACTTCTTCAGGCAGCGATCGCATTTCACCATCATTGTTTACGGTGGTGGAATTTTAATTTCATCCTCGTCATTTGAAAATAGCGCCAATCAATAACTGCCTATACTACAAGGCGTAAAGGGCTGACACGATCAGCTTATGGAAACTCTTTGAGTTTTTGAAGGTCGCCTCAATAATTGTACTATTCATGAGGACCTCTCGCCTCCACTGTGTTCTGCTAAATTACATTACTGCAGTGGTGATTACAGGTCCAGTGACTGTTGAAATTTATGGCGTCGTTAAATCGACGACCTTCTGGCATTATGAAATTTTTATGCTGTTTTCTTCAGGCTCAATTTTTTTTATTACGGCTCATGGTGGATTGTTCTTGCAGTTCGTTGGCTGTACACGCAACCACAGTCTTTGCTTAAAATAACGCACATGCGGTCAGTGCCAATTTCGTCGCTTTCCATGATGATCTCCGTTCCCCGAGATTTTTCAAGATCTTCTTTTTTTCCCCTGGCTTCTTTTGGTTTACTGCGAGAGATAGATCCAACGGAGACACTCTCAATGATTTTTTTAAAATTCGTTAATTCTCTTCTTTCATTCCTGATTTCAATTCGCAACCCTTGTAAAACCGCCTTCTGGGTTCTGGTGGCGCTACAATAGCCTACCTTCTCCCCCCCCCCGTTGCTTACCAATAAAACTCCATCATTGTTCAGTAATGGGTACGATTAGCCTACCGCTCGCACGCTGTATCAGTCCCTGGGTGTTTTCATCCTTTTTTCTTGACGTGTACATTTTGCAGCTTTCCTGCCTGACCGACCTGCATACATCGACTCCCGACGGACGTAACTTATCGTCGGCTATTCTCATTAGCAATGGGCTCATATCCTATTTTGAAACGCTCTGTTGAGTTTTTCAACACCTTTCTCATTCCCGGGCAGAGTGATATATAATTTCATTGGACATTTCGTGTCCCATTTCTAATCGGCCAATGAGGGTTCGTCTTGGCGCCTGGCGAAACAGACACGAGCAGACGACTCAACCCCTGTCAAGTTTGCTAAATTTGGCAAGTGGGCTCATACTGCATGGGGTCTTTATTCGGCGTTGCATTAAATCGAATGCTGGAATTATTGAGCCTAGGTCTGAATGAAACATCCATATTTAAAATGTTTACTAAGAAATACATATATTTTACGACCTCCTGTCCGGATCAATGCTCTTAAAAAAAATTGGAAAGCCTGACATAGAAGGACATTTCTGGCAATCTATAACCTAATTAGTATATGGTTAAAGCTTGAAACTTTACTAGAAACATATCCCTTGCTTGATTCTACGCCTAGAATGTAATCATCTCTTTGTGGAAAGGCTTGTTGCGTAGGACTATTAGTTTCATTTTCTTTTACAATTTCTTACAAATTTTTGACAAATCTAGAATGTTTTAACAAACAGTGCTTCAACCGTTCAATTACGCATCGGATACCCTCTAATTTCAAGGGGAAAACTAAAACGACAGCTCTCTTTTCGAGTTGCCCCTCTGGGATTTTATCGAATGGCGACGATTAGTTTCAAGCTTAGCTACCCCTAATTCAGCGAGACGGTTCAATGACATCACTGTAGAGATGTGGAGCAATGTGTATTGGACGGCCCCAGGACACATTGGGCTTTTGACAAACGACGCACATGGGACGGCACCACACGCTCAAGCCGCGATCCCAAGATTTAATTGTCTCAGCACAATTCATAACCGCGCCTGCGCTAAACATGCTCATTTATTTCATCCGCCTCTCCCCCGCGTTAGAGCAGAAAATAAACCACCACTACTTATTAAGCTGGACCTCTTTCCATCAGCGTCTTGCGCTAAAAATCTCCGACATCTTATGAAATTGCATAAAGTTAGTCAGATGGTACTGAACTTGATTGTTATGAACTACAAAGCGAGGACGCAAGGACGCCATTTGTTACGGAAACATAAATACACGTATCCTTTTGTGTTTCTAAGCATGTGATATTTGGCGAGAACTGTACATGTGCAAAGACTAAGTATACTTGTTAAGGCTCGGCATGGAGATTTTTGTTTCGATTTTCGTTAAAAATGAAACTTTAGTGGAAGCTTAGAGATAAATTCGCTTTGATTGCAACATCCAAGTCACACGACCGTGTCACGACCACCCAACCCTGATTGATACTGCCTCCCTGCGCTACACATCGATTTTAGAAAGAAAACAAGATTGATTTTGGTAAGATGGCCGCGCGGACAATTGTATTGATTCTAGTTTAATGCGGAGTATCGTCTTCCATAAAATTCCCGAGACCAGATGAATGGCTTGAAAGTTCAACGATTTAGTTCCCAAACTGTCCAATTGTGTTCGCCTTTTGTGCTCAGTAGGGCTATGAATCAGGGGTTATCACGTTGGGAGTTTGCAAGACATATCATTTTCAGTGTCTTGGATCTACGGCGGTGATTTTGTCAGTGGGCTGTAAATTCTTTCTCGAATGGATGTTGACGCAGACTGCGGGCCAAACAGGAAATCCTAAAGGCAGGACGATGAAGCAATTCCCCTCTCCAAATATACCCCTCAGTTTTGAGACAGCGACAAAAAAATACGGATTTGATAACCATGCAGCAAGTCCTCTTAGAAGGAGGCAGACTATGCAATAGATTCAGACTCGATAGTTCACGTGCCGCCATTGTGAAAATCAAACTTGCCTGTGAAAATGGGGCAGTAAATCACCGTAAAAATGTTCTCAGTACTGCCAAAAGTGCATTTCTGATGCCCTGTTTCACTCAATCTGCGGAAATTAATCACCTTCTACGAACTGTTGTTCATATAACTTGAGGCCTGAGATACGAGAAACATCACCGACCTTAATTATCCCCTATGATTCATACTCATGTTGCGTTCCGTTACATTTTACGTACCTCTTAATCCAATTTGTTCCTTGCATGTCCACTATCCGACATTTCATATCAAGCAGAAAGTAAACAGCGCGATCAATACTGCGGGAAAAGGTGGAATCATTCTTGAACTTTCCACCTTGGTACAGTCTTCCAAACACTACAGTCTACTGTAGGTTTATTTCAAATCATAGCAAACCAAAAGCTCATGCATCTGTTGAAATTGATCTGTCTTCTGGATCTACTGATGTAGCCTATGCATTTTGGAAATCACAACATGATGTAGAGGATGATGGGATGAAACTCAACTATGGAAAATCTTTATTTCAAAACTAACGGTCCAACAAGATCTACAAACGAACCCTCTCCAAACTTTTAGGTTTATTGACTGAGTACCGCCTTTTCTCATTCTTAAAAGGCCATCGATGTTGACCTTGGTTATGATCGGCAGAAAACAACTTATTTATAATAAAACTGAATTATTCATGATATTTGCGATTAACAAAAATTATACCTCTTTAGTGTTACAGTAGAAATTGCGTCTGCTATCCACCAAGCGCACGCATTTAAATTTACGGGAGGAAAAATCTTTGCCTATTACCGATGTTACTTTGTCTTTCGGTCCAGGCATTACCTTCTCTCGCCGAACGCAATTTTCTAACCAACCGCGCTCCTCTGTTGAAACCACTCTAGCCCTAAACCAGGCTTCGATCCCAAGCCACTTCCTAATTTTGCTTATGATCAAAGTCTTCAAGCAGGGACTTATGGATAATCTGAAGTTGGAACGGCTGCGAGCCAGACGAGCCTTGACGTAAATTAAATTGATTTCTTATTTTTTCAGTCACCCTGGCTTTATACAGAGAGGTGCACGCTCGTCAATTAGAGCACAGCTTCAACAGGCTCCAATCAACCCAGCTTACTCAAGGTCCAGTCCAATTAATGAACGGGTCTTTCATTCCCGCCACAACCGCTTGCTAACAGGGTTACAGTTTGTAAAGTTGACAATAATCGAGGGGATACCTTTGCCCCATCTTCTAAAGGGAATTGGGGCCAACACGTCCTTTCGTTGGGCAGATGTGCACGTGTTGTCTAATTAAACTCTGCGCCGGGTATGTCCCCTTATCAAGCACCAGGCAGACCCTTCTGATCGCAAGAGCAATTTTAATGAGGGATTTTGCCCTGGGTGAGTTCACTGCACTAAATCTTGAGATATAAATTACCTGCATTTTTCGTTGCCCGGTTTGGAATCGATTTCCGTATATCTAAATCTAAAATGTCTCAATTCGGAAATTATTTTGTCATCTTAGCCGCCAGCCAAAGGTCATGTAGCAACCTAGCAAGATTTAAAAGACGGTGCAAAAGCTACATTGCGTTACGTGTGTTTGACAAGGCTGCCTATACAATCTTCTGCTTTTCAACCACACAAAAGCCACCAGGCCACAAGAGTACTTCCGAAACTATGTAAATTCCGTGAATAATCATATCTCCACAATGGTAATCTACTTTAATGCTGACGCTGTGAAAGGCAGCTTACAACGTTTCCCGTTCATTCGTTCAGTTCAGTTAGAAAGTTGAATAATTTCACTCGATTAGATTGCACCTTGCATTTTGAACACCACCGCCAAAGCAACAAAGCTTTCCCCGGAGAGGCTTGGACAACACTTACCCGAAATTGGTTGCACTACCTGTGATCTGCTGTTGATGAACTACCTGAGCCGTTGGTTAATGTGTGTCCACTCTTAAAGCATTCGCTGCACGATCTGCCGACTTGCCTCCTAGCGATTACCAAGAGAGAAGTGAGTCCCCGTTTGTTCTACGTTAGTGTCGTGTCTCGTTACGCTCACACACTTTTAACCTATCAGTGGTGACAGCGTCGGGTTTTATAGCATATCCGCGCCAAGATCGTGCGGGCGGGCTGCCGCATGCGCATGGCTGGTGATGATAATGATGTAATTACTCTCACGATTGGCTCTGGGTAATTGGCTGTCCAGCAGGGGAACCGGGTGAACGATGAAGACTGTATTGTTTCGGCAAAGTGGCGGAACGGAACACACGGTATCAAGACTCGTGATGTGTACAGCGGACGCGGTTCATCCGCATTATGGAAGTAGCACTCTTTGCCCGCACACGGGCACTCTGCCGAGCGCCGTCGCACATCTTGCTTTCTCATTGGCTGATTGCCGATTCGGGGTCAAAAGTCACGTGCAGTTTTTGGAACAACAAGGGCGGCGATGATGAATGGCCCAGACTTGTGTTACTGGATATCGCATTACCGACCTTTACGAAGGTTTTCCCGGAAATATTGCTGGCGGGCAGAGACTTTTTGCCAAGACTGCTGCTTGTGGCGTTTGAAAATTTTTTTTTTAAATCAAAGGATAGGGTGGGGGAGGGCTCGGTCAGAATGCTCACTTGTTATTGGTTACTTCAAACAAACAATTTTCGTAGTAGTAAACCGGATGTATTTTGGTAACCATTCCTATTCACAACAGGTGATGCCTACACAGCCCCCTCCTTGGAAAGTGGAGGAGGGAGGCAATAAGTCGTTTGGCGATTTGTCATTTTCTGAGCGTTGGAATTATTGATCCAGATTTCGATAAACATCAAAATCGAAGCTTCCAGTAAATGTTGAATGGAGTGCTAAACCTTGATGTCATCATCATCTTGTGGATCCTGAAGGTACAGGGTGCACCCACCTGTTTGCGTCAATTTGTGGAACTTTAAACCAAAGTTCAAAGGGGAAGTGAACCTCCACAACCCAAGCAGATGGAGAAAGTATGATCCCACTCAATCCGCGGGGGCCAACTCTTTTATGGCACTACAACTAAGTTCAGTGTTGGTTCACTCTCAACATGACAAGGGGGAGGGTCGAAGGAGCAATCTAATTTGGCGAGGACTAAAAATAAAAACAAACTGATAGTTCATTTGCTAGTACATTTCCATGGAAACAGACAATCTCAAACTACATCCACAACCTACACAAAATTTGAATATTGTCCTACCTGCCTCTGAGTAATTCTTTCTTTTGGGGGAATTTTGTTTGGATGATGTCAAGCCTAGGCTGTCTTTTTCTCCAGGGAGATGAGTGCTCCTACCGAACTCCAATGGAGATATACCTGCGACAGTTTTTACCGCAAAGTTGACTTGAAGCAATAGGCCTATCCATCGTCCGACAGACAACTGGGCCCTTCCCATTCCATTCAAGGAGTGTAATGGAATGGTCTTGCCTGATAGGTAAGATTTTCCATAATATTAAAATTATTCGACCGCATTTAGAATTCTTTGTATCACTGGTCAGTATTGTTTGCATTGCCTTTCCCCCTTTTTATTAAGGAAGAAACATAGCTTCAGTTGGGAATATTTTCATGTCAATGTAATTTCAATTTTAGTTTTGAATTTAATGATTATTAGTATTGTTCTGGCTCCGTTTTTCTAACCAGTAATGAAGACAAATATAGCTTACGTATAGTGCGGTGACGGTTACATTTATAATAAAATGCGCAATGTTTTGTCATCTTTATTATAACTATTTCATCTGGTAAACTATGGTGTATAGTACACCGTTAAAACGACGCTTAGAGTTTAAATACATTTTCTAACCACTTTTTGGTACCAGTTTTTTGACGTGCTTAGACGCGACATGTTTACTGTTAAGCATTTAGGAATGTGTTGAAATGCTAAGCGGATTTCCAAAAGCTAAACATGTACCACGAAAAAGCATTTAGCGTTTAAATACATTCCTAAACACATTTTAATAAACATGCCATAAATTGAACGCGTGGAAAAGGTGGATAAAATGGTGTTAAAATTCTAAGCGTTGTGTTTACAGTGTATTTGTGATGTATATGTAAAACAGTTATATAAGTCCAGTACGGTACCATGAATAGTAAGATATTTCATCAAGGTGACTTATTAATATGTCTACATTGATTACATTTTGTAATGTCGTCGCTTTCAAAATATTCACTAGAGCAAGGTTACTGTGGGTCAGTGATTTTCCCGCCAAAAGATCTTTCACTAATTAGACGGTATCTTTGTGAATGTACGGTATGAGCTATAACCTTTCGACGGCTTGCCAAACTGTCGAATGAAAAAAAAGACAAATAAGGAATCACTTAATAATCAGAAATCTGACAATCGGCCACAGGTCTTGTTTGAAGGAAAATTGAGGTAGGCCTATGCATTGCTTCGAGATTTCGCTTTACAGGGATGTTTATGAATAACGACGACTTGTTAGGACTGTCTAATCATCCTTACAAAATAATACCTTTATGGTGTGTGCTCTGTATGTATTTGTGATCCATATTGTGAATTTTCTTCGCGATTGGTTTATTGTCAGCAAACACCTTAAATTATAGCACAAATACAACGTGCCACGCAAGAATATGTGTTCCCTCTAAGGTCATTGTTTACAGGTCATTACTCGAACTGATTCCCAGACAGTGACAGTTCTGGACATTGTGTTTACATTAAGCGAAAAAAAAAACCACTCCAGGCGACAGTTCGTACATACAATTACCTCCAGTGTGAGTCATTTTGGTGGAATTTGACCATGTGTATGCAGTTGACAATAACTGAATCGATTCCGGCCACACGACTATTGCAACTATCGTCAAAATTTTGGACTGTTATTCTCAAAATTTAAACAAAACCTCTGTATGTACAATACTCTGCAAGCCAGATCCGAGGCCGATTGCTTGAAGCTGTTGAACACAAATATACGATAAACAGAAATACGTGTTAGCAAAATACCAAACAAAATGTGTGGACATCTATCGGACATTTTGATTCAGTTGTTTGAATTCCATTTTGTTCCTACTTATTCCCATGGAGGGGCTCAGCAAATGGATGACATAACCTATTATGCTCTATTTTGACCGTTAGTGGTGGTATTTCTGGTCACTTAATATTCCACAACTCCCATATGAGAAAACGTAATCAGCTTTGATGTTATCATCTTCCAATATTGCCGGGTTCTCACGAGCGCGCGGCTGGGACCGACTATGAAAATACGCAGGCACGGTGATCCTAGCAGCTGGACCCCCGATACGCCACGTAATCAACCTGGGTTGGATACGGCTTTGTTTTGCTGGGAGAGACCGGTAATACCTTCTGTTATTCCACACGGCAACTCCGTGCCCGAAATGGAATTGATCTGGAAGCAGCTTTTTAAACCTCGGTATTAAGACTTTAATTCTATTGAAATGCCCACTGGTCTGTTTACATAACTTACTAAAGATCTAGAGGATAATAGCGAAACTTGGAGTCATTCACAAATGCTATCTTACATAAATTCTTAGAAATATCGATTCCCATTTAACTGCTCCGCATTTAACCACAACGCCTCGTTTGTTCAAATTTATTTTAATGCTTCGCTTTTCAGGGATCTTTTCACGTTCCTTTTTTTTATAACTTCAAAAATATGTTTGCTTTGGAGAGAGATTTAGCTTGGATCACAACTTCGAAGAGTATTTTTATTTAGAATCATGTATTTAGTTCTTTGTTAGCTGTGTGAGATTTCAAACAGTTTGTAAGTCGCTTTCGTACTGATGGACTGCCATAGTTTATCGATCACTAACGAGCAAAACCCATGATTGTGATTTTAGAAGAGAAGACTATAATCCAGAATAACGTAATAGTGTGCTTTTGTCGTCTGACACAATGACGTCAAAATAGGCTTTCTGAGAATAAGGCGATTGATCAAGTGTTTGGTTTCCACTCCAAATGCTACTCTTGTCTATAATAATACAGCTTTCTTGGTCAAACACATATGACTTTTGTAAATTTGTGAAAATTCCAGCGGTAATAGGCCAAAGAAAAGCCTTGATCACATCTAGACCAGTTGAGGTCTTACCAGAAGAAACTGGACCACTTGACTTTTGACAGGTAGAAAATTGACCGAAGTGGGTAAAAAAAAATGATTGATGCGCTGTACTTTAGCTTCGTAGCGAACAACTAAGTCGGTCAGACGTGTGCTGGTGATGGAAGACCGACACGAGACCTGTCAGAGACTGATCGTAGGATCGATTCTTTCAGATTATTTGTTGGATGCGACGTCTCCAAAATATGCTTGTTTTGATTCCACATTTCATTCCAAGGTTACCTCAGGTATGCTTTTCCTGATGATTGGCTTTCCTCAAAAGAGCCTTGACCCGTTCTACAAACTGGACCATTCAACCGGTTTATTTCAAAAACGGTCATTCAAAATAGCTTTGTCTTTCTTACTGTGATTTCCCCCCTTTTCGTAGGACAATTATGATTCTTCAAATTGAAAGGTTAATTATCATATCTTATAGTTGAAAAACTTTGAATGCGAAATATGGACTATACAATTTAATTTATCTGAATCATGAAGTAACATTTATGAAAAAGGTCGCTCCGCTGAAAGGTTTCAACCGTAATTGTGATAGATTGTAAATTTTCAATCTTTGAACACGTGGTCCAGTAGACATTGAATATAAATTCCTAAATACATGAAAATGCGCTATAGTTATGTGCTTCGCTATAGGTATGTGCTTACTGAGACGCAGCCATATTTGGAGTTTTTTCTGTCTCCATTTGTTCACGAAAGCTTTTTTACTCTCAGTCAGACTTTTAAAAGTGGTCGAATCGCACACAGCGGTGCCTCAGTAAGAACTCTGACTGAATCAGAAAATATGAGGCCTTATTAACCAAAGTTATCTCTTTTCCAAAGGCAGTATCGTTTTCCATAGAAACAATGCTCATTATAGGATTACGCAACACCCTGTCAAAAGAGTAGCATCTCTTTGAAATGATATCCACTGGACAATGCCGATTTTAATGAGGTCTTAGACAGTGGGTGTTTATTTTCGATCCTTTGTTCCGGTTTTAATCAGCAGAGAGTGTCGAAACCATAATTTATGGACCATAACGTTAAGCCGCCGGCCGTCTGTTGTAAAGTGGATGTTAATAACCGAACATGTGTTCTCTTTATTTTTTCTAGCTTCAAGGTAAAAACGACTCGGCTATTATGAGGCTCCGTCTTGAGGGTAGGCCTACATCTTGAGGCTGCAAGAGAGCCCAAGAGAATAGACTGTCTAGATTAAAATATGAAATTGCCATGGGGA